TGGTCAGGGCGTGAGGATTTGGTGTCGTGGTGGCCAAGGCGAGGACTTGGTGTCGTGGTGGTCAGGCGTGAGGACTTGGTGTCGTGGTGGCCAGGGCGTGAGGACTTGGTGTCGTGGTGGCCAGGGCGTGAGGACTTGGTGTCGTGGTGATCAGGGATTGAGGACTTAGTGTCGTGGGGGTCAGGGCGTGAGGACTTGGTGTCGTGGTGGTCAGGCGTGAGGACTTGGTGTCGTGGTGGCCAGGGCGTGAGGACTTGGTGTCATGGAAGGCAAGGAAGGTCTCTAGATTAAGATGTTACAACGGGAGGAAGACGAGGAGGAGGAGGATTTATTGGGAAGAAGGAGGTCTTCTTCCCCTTCCTCCTCTTCCCTCTTCCTCTTTTCTTCCTCTTCTTCTTCCCCTATGCATTTTTTCATCTATTTTTTGTACCCATCTGCAGTGGAGTCTATTTTGGTGTGGCGCTGTCTGTCTGTCTGTCTCTGCTTGTTATGTCTGTCTGTATGTCTTTCAGTTCGTCTGTCTCGCTGGCTGTCTGCCTGTCCGTCTGTTCTTAACTTTGGTTAATTGATTACATTAACCCGGGTGTGAGGGGTAGAGGGGACAATTTTACTTCGTTCCCTGGTGGTTTTATTCACCTTCGAACCAGTGAACCATCGGATCATTTAATCTTAGGACCAATGAATCCTCGAATCTTTGAAACTTCGAACCAATGAACCTTCGAATCATAAAAATATTTGAACCATTCAACCTTCAAAACATTAAATCCCCGAACCAATAAACCTTTGACTCATGAAATCTCTGAACCAATGAATCTTCGAACCAGTGAACCCTAGAAAAATAGAATCGATCCCATTAGACTAAACGTTGTCGCCCGTACCATTAGTTTTATAATTTAATTTTACTTTTACCCAAATCGTACTCTCTTCTCTGGCTATAATTTGTGGACATCCAGTGGACATCCAGTGTTGTTTGATAGGTTGTGAACGAGTTGTGGATATGGGTTTTAGACGGATTGTGGATGGTTTTGAACAGATTGTAGGTGGGTTGTGGATGTGTTGTAGACGGTTGTGGACAGGGTTATGAATGGGATGTTGTCGTTGGGATCAGGTTATGAACGTGTTACAAACGTGTAACTGCTAGTGTCTCCCATGTCCTAATTATCATAACCTCTCATGACCTATTATGACCCCTACCATGACCTAACTACCATAAACCTAACTAACTTGATCCCTCTTTCCATAACCTTAACTACCATGACCCTCCCATAGCCTAACTACCATGACCCCTCCATAACCCCACTACCATGCCCACTCCCATAACCTAACAACCATACCAAGGGCCAGACACTTGATAACAGGGCCCAGGAATGCACAAAATGCTATTGACCTCTTGTACGTATTTTCAGATGGCAATTACACCGGATAATGATTTAATGGCAGGGTAACGAGCACTTATTATTGGACTATTTGATAGGCTAATTTCAGGTCCTGGTTATGTTCAACTTTCGGAGGACGATGACTAAGCCTAGATTAGTTCACTTGGATGAGATCAACTGAAGATTATTAGACAGCTTAGTTTATTTGTCCTGAAGATTAGACAGCTTAGTTTATTTCACCTGAATATTAGACAGCTTAGTTTATTTCACCTGAAGATTAGACAGCTTAATTCACCTGAAGATTAGACAGCTTAATTTATTTGTCCTGAAGATTAGACAGCTTAGTTTATTTCACCTGAATATTAGACAGCTTAGTTTATTTCACCTGAAGATTAGACAGCTTAATTCACCTGAAGATTAGACAGCTTAGTTTATTTCACCTGAAGATTAGACAGCTTAGTTTATTTCACCTGAATATTAGACAGCTTAGTTTATTTCACCTGAATATTAGACAGCTTAGTTTAATTCACCTGAAGATTAGACAGCTTAGTTTATTTCACCTGAAGATTAGACAGCTTAGTTTATTTCACCTGAATATTAGACAGCTTAGTTTATTTCACCTGGAGATTAAACACCCTAGCTTATTCCACCTGAACTTCCCAGGTAGCGTTGGGGTGTCTAATCTTCAGGTAAAACAGGTGACCCAATTTATCCTCCCCTAAATGACTGTTTTATTGAGGATGATGCAACTTGGCAGAGTGGGGCGGACTGGAGGTTGGCCCACGACCACCTGAATTAGAACAAAAAAGTAATGTATCTTGGGGCTAAGTCAGGCTTATTGATCCGACGTATTAGGCTTTGATAGTTTGGCTTGAAATGGTGGCAGGTGGTGGCATTGTGTCTAGGTTGTGGCAGGTGGTGGCATTGTGTCTAGGTGGTGGCAGGCGGTGGCATTGTGTCCAGGTGGTGGCAGCAAGCGGCAATCCGTCCTAACTTAACCTAACCCCATACAAACATCCCCTCCCTCCCTTTCTACCCCCCTTTCCTCACAACCCCCGAGTCTAACAACACTAATGACCTTCCCAATTACTATTTATTAACTATCTGTGATGCACCAATTACGTGCCACAGTAGGAGGAGACTTCCAGGAAATTATGGTAGTGGTTACTGTTGGTGGTAGTTGTAATGGCTATTCCTAGAGGTGGTAGTGGTAATAATGTTGGTTGTTGTTGTTTCTCTGGACTTTGATGCTTACCCCCCATCACACACACACACACACACACACACACACACACACACACACACACACACACACACAGAGTCTACATAATCCACAGACCATCACCAACATTGGCCTCCTCGGGTTATTTTCACCGTGACTGAAACCTTATGTACTCACCCCCTAACCACCCCTCCTACTCCACCAATCCCTCCCCACTCCACCACCCCTCACCACCCTCCCCCATTCCTCCACCCCCTCGCCTCCCCCCATTCCCACCCTCACCACCCTCCCCCACTCCACCACCCCCTCCTACTCCACCAATCCCTCCCCCACTCCACCACCCCTCACCACCCTCCCCATTCCTCCACCCCTCGCCTCCCTACCCCACCAGCCCACATTGACTTAACTGAGGCACGTGGACACACACTAGTTAGCTTATGTATCCTGGAGGCTCAAGACTTTATTGATGGCGGAGGTGAAAACCAACACACTCTTGTCTCCTTCAGGGCTACCAACACCCACTATCTCTCACTAGGGGCTACCAACACCCACTACCTCCTTCAGGCTACCAACACTACCTCCTTCAGGGCTACCAACACCACTAAGTCTCCTTCAGGGGCTACCAACACCAATGGCGGGAGTGGGAAGGAGGGTAGGCAGTGTGTGTGAGGAGAAGGAGGCAGTGTGTGTGTGGAGGAGAAGGAGGGTAGGCAGTGTGTGGAGGGGAGAGAGAGGGAGAGGTCTGCAGGGTGTGTGTGTGTGTGGAGGGAGGAGGAGGAGTTACCTGTAATTATAACCGGAATACCTGACTCTAATTATAGCTTTCAACACCTGCCTTCCACAGCACACACAAAGGTAAACCCGGAATGTAATTAGTGTTAGTGCCACCGTAGCGAGTTATGACAGACAGACAGAGAGACAGAGACAGACAGACAGACAGACAGAGAGACAGGCAGACAGACAGACAGACAGACAGAACGATACTGACTATGGATACCCTCAATACTTCAATGTGTGTGTGTGTGTGTGTGTGTGTGTGTGTGTGTGTGTTTATCAGCTGGGTGTTGTTCAGTAGGACATAAACTTTCTTATGGTCGTTGATGTAAAAGAATGACGCTAGTAAAGTAGTGAAGATAAGAGTTCTCAAGTGTAAACTGTTCCCTTCCCTTTACTTCCCTCCCTCCCTCCCTCCCTCCCTCCCTCTCCACTTCCCTCCACCTCCCTCCACTCCCTCCCTCGTCTTCCGCCAGTTGTATTCATAAACAAGTACATAATAAGATTGTAATTAACTTGTATAGATGTCTTCAGCATCCCTCCCTTTAGTAATCTCCTAATCCAATATTAACCTCCCTACCCACGCCTCTCTCCCTCCCTCACTAACCTCCACTAACCTCTAATGAATCTTTTATCTCCTCACGTGGTCACCCCCTTCCTTTCCCTCCAACTCCCTCCTCCCTCCCTCCTCCCTCCCTCCCTCACTAACCTCCATCAATCTCCGTCCCCCCTCACTGATGGAGCTGGAGAAAGGTAGGAGAGAGACTTTGAGATTAACACGAGAGAGAGAGACAGAGAGATCTAAAACACTAATACACACACACACACACACACACACACACACACACACACACACACACACACACACACACACACATAACCATTACAATATATCAACTTTGCAGATCATTTGCGATAACCATTTAATTAACTAATGGTCGTGTAAAATGTTATAGTTGAATAATTACTGGCGATAATCCGTGAAGTAATGGCTTTGTGGTCTTGAGGGCGAGTTATTAAAAGTGTTGTAAGTATGTCGAGATTTTTAAGTAACTTGAGTTTGTAAAGTGTGTAAGTACGTTAAGTGTGTGAGTACGTTAAGTGTGTAAGTACGTCTGTTATTATTATTATTATTATTATTATTATTATTATTATTATTATTATTATTATTATTATTATTATTATTATTATTATATTATTATTATTATTATTATTATATTATTATTATTATTATTATTATTATTATTATTATTATTATTATTATTATTATTATTATTATTATTGTTGTTGTTGTTGTTGTTGTTGTTGTTGTTGTTGTTATTATTATTATTATTATTATTATTATTATTATTATTATTATTATTATTATTATTATTATTATTATTATTCCTCTCCATACATGGCTTCTATTAGTTTATCATAGTCGTCATTCTTTTAGGTTTTTCGGTACTACTTTATCCATCTAACACGCCAGTAGAAGACCAGAGAAAATAAATAGATAGATAGAGAGAGAGAGAGATAGAGAGATATAAACTAATACATAAAAATAGATAAATATAGACTAGTAGATTAAAAAATAGCTATAATGAACAATAGACGTAACCTCTTGTTTGTGTTTTTTGTTTCAGGTCTGGCTATTGAGAAGTTGTGTGAGACAGCGGAGGCCAACCTGGTGGAGCCGGTGGGCGGGGGGGGCGTGGGCGGGTATCGGCCAGAGTACCGCGCCTCTATGATCCGTGCCGCCCGCTGTCTACTCTCCTCCGTCACCCGGGTCCTCCTGTTGGCCGATACCGTGGTGGTGAAACAGCTCCTACTGGCCAAAGATAAAGTGAGTGTCTTCGTCAGGTGGTTCTTTCTTCTTCTTCTTCTTCTTCTTCTTCTTCTTCTCTTATACCTGGGCCGCCTGTAACCTGTAAACTTTCAGATACTGTTCGTCCTGTAACCTGGGGAGAGGATCAGAATGGGGAGAGGACCAGGATGGGGAGAGTACCAGGATGGGGAGAGGACCAGGATGGGGAGAGGACCAGGATGGGGAGAGGACCAGGGTGGGGAGAGGACCAGAATGGGAGAGGACCAGGGTGGGAGAGGACCAGAATGGGGAGAGGACCAGGGTGGGGAGAGGACCAGGATGGGGAGAGGACCAGAATGGGAGAGGACCAGGGTGGGAGAAGATGGGGAGACCTACTAAAATAAAGATAGGATAAAATTGCGGTCGTTTCAATGCCTCGTGTCCTTGGGTGTATGTTGAGAATGGGGGAGAATGGGGAAGAAGAAGGAAGGAGGAGGAAGAAAAGGAAGGAGGGAAAGGTGGAGATAATCTGAGAGAAGAAGGAGGGGAGGAAGAAAGAGATGATGCAAAGCAGAAAAAAGTGGTGACAAGGAAAGGAGAAGTTGGAAGAGGAGGAGAAGTAGGGAGAGAAGTAGAGGAGAAGGATGAGGGAAAGAGGAAGAGAAGAGGAGGAGGAGGAAGACAGTCTTACACTCAACAGGTTCATTTGTCTTGTTCTTGAGTTTTTTCTTTCGTCTGTAAAATTTCCTTCCTGTGATGTAGCTACACTGAATACTTCCTCAGTCTTCCCTCTTCCCAGTCTTCCCTCCTCTTCCCCAGTCTTTCCCCTCTTCCCCAATCTTCCCCTCTTCCCAGTCTCCTTCCCCAGTCTTCCTTCCTCTTCCCTGTCTTCCCTCCTCTTCCCCAGTCTTCCCCTCTTCCCCAGTCTTCCCCCTCTCCAGTCTCCCCTCTTCCCAGTCTTCCTCCATTTTCCCCAGTCTCCCCTCTTTCCCCAGTCTTCCCCTTTCTCCAGTCTTCCTCCTTTCCCCAGTCTCCCTCTTCCCCAGTCTTCTCCCCCTCTTCCCCAGTCTTCCTCCCTCTTCCCCAGTCTCCCTCTTCCCACACCACCTCCCCCTCTTCCCCACACCCACACCTCCCCTTCTTTTCTCTACACACCTCCTCCTCTTCCCCCACACCACCACCTCCTCTTCCCCACACCACCTCCTCCCTCTTCCCCACACCCACCTCCCCCTCTCCACACCACCTCCCCCTCTTCCCACACCACCTCCCATCTTCCCCACACCACCCCTCCCCACACCACTCCCCCTCTTCCCACACCACCCTCTCCCCTCTTCCCCACACCACCTCCCCCTCTTCCCCATATACCACCTCCCATCTTCCCCCACACCACCTCCCTCTTTCCCCACACCACCTCCTCCTCTTCCCCACACCACCACCTCCTCTTCCCCACACCACCGCCTCCTCTTTCCCCACACCACCTCCTCCTCTTCCCCCACACCACCTCCCCCTCTTCCCCACACCACCTCCTCCTCTTCCCCACACCACCCTCCTCCTCTTCCCCACATACCACCTCCTCCCCTTTCCCCCCACACCACCTCCCCTTCTCCCCCACACCACCTCCTCTTCCCATACCCACCTCCTCCTCTTCTCCCCACACCACCTCCTCCTCTTCCCCACACCACCTCCTTTTCTTCCCACACCACCCTCCTCCTCTTCCCCACACCACCTCCCTCTTCCCCACACCACCTCCCCCTCTTTCTCCACACCACCTCCCTCTCCCCACACCACCTCCCTCCTCTTCCCCACACCACCTCCCCCTCTTCCCCCACACCACCTCCCCTCTTCCCCCCCACACCACCTCCCTCTTCCCCACACCACCTCCCTTCCCCACACCACCTCCCCTCTTCCCCACATCACCCTCCCTCTTCCCCACACCACCTCCCCCTCTTCCCACACCACCTCTCCCTCTTCCCCACACCACCTCCCCTTTCCCCCATACCACCTCCCCATCTTCCCCACACCACCTCCCTCTCTTCCCCACACCACCTCCCTCCTCTTCCCCACACCACCACCTCCTCTTCCCACACCACCTCCTCCCTCTTCCCCACACACCACCTCCTCCCTCCTCTTCCCCACACCACCTCCCCCTCTTCCCCCACACCACCTCCTCCTTCCCCCTACACCCACCTCCTCCTCTTCCCATACCACCTCCTCCTCTTCCCCACACCACCTCCCCCTCTTCCCCACACCACCTCCTCCTCTTCCCATACCACCTCCTCCTCTTCCCACACCACCTCCTCCTCTTCCCCACACCACCCTCCTCTTCCCACACCACCTCCTCCTCTTTTCCCCACACACCACCTCTCCTCTTCCCCCACACCACCTCCCCTCTCCACACCACCTCCCCCTCTCCCACACCACCTCCCTCCTCTTCCCCACACCACCTCCCCCTCTTTCCCCACACCACCTCCCTCTTCCCCCACACCACCTCCCCCTCTTTCCCCACACCACCTCCCCCTCTTCCCCACACCACTCCCCCTCTTCCCCCACACCACCTCCCCTCTTCCCCCACACCACCTCCCCTCTTCCCACACCACCTCCCTCTTCCCCACACCACCTCCCCTCTTCCCATACCACCTCCCCTTCCCCCACACCACCTCCCTCTCCCCTGCACCACCTCCTCCTCTCCCACACCACCTCCTCTTTCCCACACCACCTCCTCCTCTTCCCACACCACCTCCTCCTCTTCCCCACACCACCTCCCCCTCTTCCCCCCACACCACCCTCCTCCTCTTCCCCACACCACCTCCTCCCTCTTCCCCATACCACCTCCTCTTCCCCACACCACCTCTTCCCCACACCACCTCCTCCTCTTCCCCCCACACCACCCTTTCCCCACCAACCTCCTCCTCCTCTTCCCACACACCAACTCCTCCTCTTCCCCACACACCACCTCCTCCCTCTTCCCCACACCACCTCTCCTCTTCCCCACACCACCTCCCCCCCTCTTCTCCCACACCACCTCCCCTCTCTCCCCACACACCACCTCCTCCTCTCTTCCCCACACCACCTCCCCTCTTTTCCCCACACCACCTCCCCCTCTTCCCCCTCATCCCTCCCCCTTTTCCCCACACCCACCTCCCCTCTTTCCCACACACCACCTCCTCTTCTTCTCACACCACCTCCCCTCTTCCCCCACACCACCTTCCCTCTTCTCCCCACACCACCTCCCCTTTCCCACACCACCTCCCCCTCTTCCCCCACACACCACCCCCCCTCTTCCTCACACCACTCCCCCCTTCTTCCCACACCACCTCCCCTCTTCCCCACACCACTCCCCCTCTTCCCCACACCACCTCCCCCTCTTTCCCATCCCCTCTTCCCTCTCCCTCCCTTCTTTCCCACACCACTTCCCCTCTTCCCCACACCAGCTCCCCTCTTCCCCATACCACCCCTCTTCCCCCACCACCTCCCTCCTCTTCCCATACCAGCCCCCTCTTCCCACACCGCCTCCCTTTCCCCACACCACCTCCCCCTCTTCCCCACACCTCCTCCTCTTCCCCTCTTCACACTACCTCCCCTCTTTCCTCATTACTCACCTCCCCCTCTTCTCACCACCCCTCTTCCCTCATTAACCCCTCTTCCCCACCAGCCTCCCTTCTTCCCACACCATTCTTCCCCTCATAATTACCTCCCCCCTTCTCATCCACTTCCTCTCTCTCTTCCCACCTCCCTCTTCCCCATCCACCTCCCCTCTTTTCCACACCACCTCCCCTCTTCCCCTCAATACTCACCCCTCTTCCTTACACATCACCACCCCCCTCTTTCCTCATTACCACCCCCCTCTTCCCTCACACTCACTCTCTTCCCCACACCACAAACATAAAACAAGTAAACAATATCCAAAACAAATAAATTAGATAAATATAAAGAAATGCAGAAACTCGGAAGACCTTGAGGCTAAAAAAAATATATGAATAATTAATGAGAAGTATTACGTGAAAGTTGTGGGTGGAGAGAGGAGAGAAGAAGAGTAGGAGGAGAGAGGAGAGGGGTGGAGGAGAGAGGAGAGGAAGAAGAGTAGGAGAGAGGAGAGGAGAAGAGTAGGAGAGAGGAGAGGGGGGGTGGAGGAGAGAGGAGAGGAAGAAGAGTAGGAGAGAGGAGAGGGAGAAGAGTAGGAGAGAGGAGAGGAAGAAGAGTAGGAGAGAGGAGAGGAAGAAGAGTAGGAGAGAGAGAGGAAGAAGAGTAGGAGAGAGGAGAGGGGTGGAGGAGGGAGGAGAGGAAGAAGAGTAGGAGAGAGGAGAGGAAGAAGAGTAGGAGAGAGGAGAGGAAGAAGAGAGAGAGAGGAGAGGAAGAAGAGTAGGAGAGAGGAGAGGAAGAAGAGAGGAGGAGAGGAGGGAAGAAGAGTGGGGAGAGGAGAGGAAGAAGAGTAGGAGAGAGGAGGGGGGTGGGAGGAGATAGAAGGAGTAAAGGAAGAGGGAAGGAGGAGAGGGAGGAGAGAGAAAGCAAGGAGAAGGAGGAGGAGAGAGTAAAGGAAAGGGAGAAGGAGGAGGGGAGAGTAAAGGAAAGGAGAAGGAGGAGGGCGAGTAAGGGAAGGGGAGAAGGAGGAGTAAGAGAGAGAGAGAGAGAGAGAGAAGAAAAGGTAGGTCAACAGCAAGACAGCCCACATCGGGTAAGAAAAACAAAAGCTAATCGGATTGCCAGGAGCTTGTGACTGCTGGAGTGTAAACAACGAGATATTTTTATTTTTTAAGACGCGATTAAAAATGATGATGGAATGGTTGGAGAGGGGGGTGATGGGAGGGGGTAGTGGAGGGAGGGGGAGGAGGGAGGGGTGTGGGGGAGGAGGGGAGGAGGGAGAGGTGAGGGGGGAGGAGGGGAGGAGGCGGGAGAGGTGGGGAGGAGAGAGTGGTGGGAGGGGGAAGGAGGGGGTGTGGAGGAGGGGTGGGGAGGAGGGAGGATGGAAGGGTGAGGGGGGGAGGAGGGAGGGGTGAGGGAGAGGGGGGGAGGTGGTGAGGGAGGGAGAGAGTGGTGGGAGA